CCACCATATTTGGCTGTCAAAAGGCAAATATGAAAATACTGTAAAAACTTTAGAAAGAAGGCAAAAAGCCAGGTTTCCATTTCTTTGACCTGCTAGTTTACTTAAAAGTTTTAAAGATGAGAAATATGTGATCATAGCGTTACCCCAGCCCCTTTTCCCCTCCTTGCGCTTGCCTTCAGATAGGCAGTAAAGAACATTTGAACCAAATGGCATTGGGTCCTCCTTCCTCCCTCCCTCCCTCTCCTTCTCTCCCTCTCCTCCTCTCTCTTTTTTTTTCTTTTTTTTGAGACAGAGTCTCACTCTGTTGCCCGGGTGGCTAGAGTGCCGTGGCGTCAGCCTAGCTCACAGCAACCTCAAACTCCTAGGCTCAAGCAATCCTCCTGCCTCAGCCTCCCAAGTGGCTGAGACTATAGGCATGCGCCTCCTTGCCTGGCTAATTTTTTTATATAAAAATATTTTTAATTGTCCAGCTAATTTCTATTTTTTTTAGTAGAGACAGGGTCTTGCTCTTGCTCAGGCTGGTCTCAAACTCCTGAGCTCAAACAACTGAGGCCAAACACTCTTGGCCTCCCAGAGTGCTAGGATTATAGGCATGAGCCACCGCGCCTGGGCGGGTCCTTTCTTAAATAGGAAAAAAGTTAACTCTCTGATCAGTACTAACAAATATTGTGTCCAAACTATTCTAAATATTTTGTTACTCAGATTTGTATTCACTTGAATAAGAATATGGTTGCCTTATTTTACACTTCCTTGGAAGGGAAGTTTGCTTGAAGTGACTTCCTGGTAACTGTGACAGGAGCAGGTACACAGCACTCCAGGCTCACAGCCTGCATCACAGGCAGGAAGGCCAACAAAGCAGAAGGCTAACTTCTCAATACCTTATCTGGCTCAGGTACCTCCTGGCAAAATAGAATTTGAATGAAATGAATGAATATGTATATAAGACATAGTTTTTTTTATTTTTCATAAAAAGCATTCAGGTTTAAAATGGAGAGCACAATATTTTTAATCTTCTAAACTAAAAATATTTTGAGTTGTGGTTATGATATTTGCCTTCCTCTCACCATGCCTGAGAACTCCATAAATCACATTTCTGAGACATGTTGTGTAAACTAAGGGATACAGGCAATAAGACTACATTCTAAAAAAAGAAGTCATGGGTAGTTAACATTTGTTGAATTTGTTTTGGGTGATTTGAAAATTGCAATTTTTTTTTTAAATGGGGACAGCAGAGAAAGAACGGAAAAACCCTATATACTGGGCATACTATTCAAAAGATCTGGTTCCCAATACCTTGAATTAGAAGTGCTTTCCTTATGGCGAGTGTGGTTCATCTCAAGCCTTGACTAGGGCCCCTCAGTGTCCTGGCTGCCCGGGAATCACACACTGGCACTTGCCTCTAGTCAGCAACTACCTTTAGAGGCAGTGGAGTTCAAGAGCCATAAAAAATCATAATATTAATAAAATAAGGGAACATTTAAAACAACTTTTTTTTTTTTAGGTTTATGATACAGTGTATGGATTCAATGGATGGAGTTGAACCAAATTCCAGTATATTTCACATCTATTTTGGACTGAAACATAAGCTTAGTTTGTCTATTTAATCTTTTTTTAAGAAAGACTGTTATAAGATTGTTATATTAAAAAAAAAAAAAAGGAAGCCTTTTATGAGTTATTTATGTAGTTACCACAAAATGCCAGACAATTTTTAGCTAAAACTTCACAGCAACTCCCTTGTAAACAAATGGTAACCAGAGGAGCCACATTTTGGCTCCAGTATGTGATTTCCTAACACACTAAATAGGTATTATGTAAACACCAGGCATTTCGTGTAAACAAGCCTGGCATGCTTTTTCATTTTAATACAAATAACAATTTTAGGTTAGTATAAAATTCAGCATTTGAACCATTTTAAAGTGTACAATTCAGTGACATTTGGTATATTTACATGTTGTGCAACCATCACCAATATCTAGTTCCAGAACATTTTCATCACTTCAAAAGGAAACCCTGTGCTCATTAAGCAATCACTCCCATTTTCCCTTACACCCATCCCCTGGGAACCACTCATCTGCTTTCTGTCTCTATGGATTTGCCTGTTCTGGGTATTTCATACAAATGGAATCATACAATATGTGGCCTTCTATGCCTGGTTTCTTTTATTAGTATAATATTTTCAAGGTGCATCCATGTTGTGGTATGATCCGTCACTACTTCAATCTTTTAATGTCCAAATAATAATGTTCCATTACAGGGATATATCACAATTTGTTTATCCAGCCATCAGTTGATGGACATTTGGGTTGTTTCCATGTTTTGGCTGTTGCGAATAGTGCAGCTATGAATATTAGCTTATAAGTTTTTATTTGAACAAATGTTTTACATTTCTAGGAATGGAATTGCTCAGTCATATGGCAATTCAGTGTTTAACTTACTGAGGAACAGCCAGTTTTCCACAGAGGCTGAGCCATTTTACGTTCCCCCCAGCAATGTGCAAGGTTCCAATTTCTCCGCATCTTTGCAACACTTGCCATTGTCAAGTTTTTTGTTTTTTGTTCTTCAGCCATCCTACTGGGTGTGAAGTAGTATCTCATTGTGGTTTTGATTTGCATTTCCCTAATGACTAACAATTTTGAGGATTTTTTTCATGTGCTTATTGGCAATTTGTATAACTTCTTCAGAGGAATGTCTGTTCAAGTCCTTTGCCCCTTTTTAAAATGAGTTGTTTTTTGTTGTTGAGTTGTATGAGTTCTTTATTTATCCTAGATATAAGACACTGATCGTTATGTGATTTGCAAATGTTTTCTCCCATTCTGTGTTTTCTTTTTTCTTTTTCTTTTTTGTTTGAGACAGTGGTGTCAGTTTAGCTCACAGCAACCTCATACTCCTGGGCTCATGTGATCCTTCTGCCTTAGCCTCCCACACCATGATGCCCAGCTAATTTTTCTATCTTTGGTAGAGATGGGGGTCTCACTCTTGCTCAGGCTGGTCTCGAACTCCTGACCTCAAGCAATCCTCCTGCCTTGGCCTCCCAGAGTGCTAGGATTATAGGCATGAACCACCAAAGCCCGGCCTTCCATTCTGTGTTTTCTTTTCACTTTCTTGATAGTGTCCTTTGATATACAAAAGTTTTAACTTTTGATGAACTTCAGTGTATCTGTTTTTTCTTTTGTTGCTTCTGTTTTTGGTGTTATCTCTAAGAAACCATTGCCAACTCCAAGATCATGAAGATGTACCCCATATTTTCCTATGAAAGTTTTATTAGCCCTTATATTTAGGTTGTTGATTGAATTTGAGCAAATAAATTTACTTTTTATTTGCAGTATAAGGACTCAACTTCATTCTTTTGCATATGGATATCCAGTTGTCCCGTATCGAATGTTTTTATCATGAAATGGTATTGGATTTTGTCAAATCCTTTTTCTGTATCAATTAAGAAGATCATGGTGTTTTCTTTCATTCTATTAATGTGGTAGACTCATGTTAGGTTTCTAGGGCTGCCATAACAAAGTACCACACACTGAGTGGCTTAAAACAACAGACATTTATTCTCTTTCAGTTCTGGAGGACAGAAGTCCCAAATCAAGGTTATCAGCAGGGTTTTTTTTTTTAATTTTTTACTTTTTTTTTTATTTTTGAGACAGAGTCTCGCTTTGTTCTCCAGGCTAGAGTGAGTGCCGTGGCATCAGCCTAGCTCACAGCAACCTCAAACTCCTGGGCTCAAGCAATCCTCCTGCCTCAGCCTCCCGAGTAGCTGGGACTACAGGCATGCGCCACCATGCCCGGCTAATTTTTTTTCTCTATATATTAGTTGGCCAATTAATTTCTTTCTATTTATAGTAGAGACGGGGTCTCGTTCTTGCTCAGGCTGGTTTTGAACTCCTGACCTCAAGCAATCCGCCCGCCTCGGCCTCCCAGAGTGCTAGGATTATAGGTGTGAGCTATTGCATCCCACCTAATTTTTTACTTTTTAAACTTTTTTAGTTATAAACTAAGACACAACATTACCCTGCCTAGGCCTACACAGGGTTAGGATCATCAATAAGACTGTCTTCGCCTCCACATCTTGTGCCACTGAAGGTCTTCAGGGGCAAAAACACATGTGGAGCTGTCATCACCTATGATAAGGGTGCCTTCTTGATACTTTGAATGACCTGCCTGAGGCTGTTTTAGAGCTAACTTTTTTTTTAATAAGTAGGAGTACACTAAAATAACCATAAAAAGTATAGTACAGTAAATACATAAACCAGTAACATGGTGTTCATCACCACCATCAAGTATTATGTACTGTACATAATTGCATGTGCTAGACTTACATACAACCGGACTTACATACGACTGGCAGCACAGTAGGTCGGTTTCCAGCAGTATCACCACAAACACGTAATGTGTTGTACTTCAATGGTAAAACGGCCACAACATTACAAGTCGATGGAAAATTTTCAGCTCCATTATAATCTTTTTTTTTTTTTTTTTGAGACAGAGTCTCACTTTGTTGCCCAGGCTAAAGTGAGTGCCCTGGCATCAGCCTAGCTCACAGCAACCTCAAACTCCTGGGCTCAAGCAATCCTGCTGCCTCAGCCTCCCGAGTAGCTGGGACTACAGGCATGTGCCACCATGCCCGGCTAATTTTTTTTCTCTATATATTAGTTGGCAGTTAATTTCTTTCTATTTATAGTAGAGACGGGTCTCGCTTTGCTCAGGCTGGTTTCAAACTCCTGACCTCAAGCAATCGGCCCTCCTTGGCCTTCCAGAGTGCTAGGATTACAGGCGTGAGACACCGCCCCTGGCACCCATTATAATCTTATAGGACACCGTCTCCTATGTGGTCTGTCATTGACTGACATGTTATGTGGCCCATGCCTGTGTTCATGATCCTCAATAAGCGGTGTGGCCAGGGGCTTTCTGTACAATACATAAGTCACACACAAAACAGGAGCAGCGTCGTGGGGTCCCAGATCTGGACTCCTATGCTAGGTATTTGTTTCTTTTTGTTTCAGGTGTTTGTGGCCAGTCCTCACAAGACACAGCCTATTGTGGAGATTCTATTAAAAAATCAACCCAAACTGATTGAGTTTCTGAGCAGCTTCCAAAAGGAAAGGACGGACGATGAGCAGTTCGCTGATGAGAAGAACTACTTGATCAAACAGATCAGAGACTTGAAGAAAGCAGCCCCTTGAAGACCTCACCGTTTCCTGCCACGGGCTTTCGTCGCACTTGTCCAGTTTGTACACTAAGTGTCATTTCAAAAAGTCATTCTGGGGAAGGTTTTGGAGGGCCCTATTTTTTTCTCAATCAGTTGTTCGGGGTAGATGGAATATAAGCATTCAAATGGAAAAAAATTAACCTAGAATAATATATTCGTTTTAATCAAGTCTGTGATTATTTATGTGAAATCAGAGCCTTTGTATTAGATGTTGATAAAAGCAGTTACAACTTGCAGGTGGAAGCCCTTGGTCACCATGAGCCACCAAATGGGAGCTCAGATGACAGGTACCACCGAGTCCTGGGGGAAGAACTGGGAAGGGGGCAGGGTGCAAAAGTGCTGTGCCCGTCTGCAGGTAGACAAATGTTGCTTAAGGCGCTGAAAGATCCCAGAAGATAAGGTTATTGTTTTCAGTATCCCTTTGTCCTTGCCTGCTGTCTCTGGAGTATGAGTGGGTCTGTACCTGCAGGGGAGGCGATGCCCACCGCCCCGCCCCGCCTCCCCGCTCGCCCGCTGCCCCATGCCCTGTCCCAGCGCACACCGAGGCCGCGTTAGCATGGGAGCAACTGAGTAGGAACAGGATGGATCAACGAGGGTCACAGGGCATCCAGCACCCACAGGTGTGTCCTGCTTACTGGAGAACTGCCAACAGATGGTTCTAGATAGAGTCACTGCTGTTCCATGTTGACTTCTAGAGGGTCAGTGAGCATCTGAATATTTCATTCATAATTGTCATCACAGGAAGAATGCTCCATGCTGACCGGGTGTGTTAGATTTGTGGGAATCCTTGAGTGGGATGCCAGCGGGCACACAACCACGGGTCCTCTTAGTAGGAGAACTTTATCGATGGGAGGACATCACCCTCGAAAGGGGAAATGATTAAATGGATGAAAAAATTCTCATATCACTAAAATTTTTTTTCAGTTTATTTTCTAATAAACTGTCATTCTATAACTGCCCATCAAAGCCTTCAAGTGAAAAAGTAGAAAACCTACAAAATGTTGGTCTCAGATATTCTCCTGCATACTAAGATGCCTAAGGAGTTAATTTGTGTTCCTTAAAAAAAGACGTGGAACCAAACAATGTTTAAAAGGCCATGGTTTGTTTTCAATCATCATGCATATAAAATGGAATTTTAAAGCTGTATTTTAGAAGGCAGTAAAGGTACAATTGGTAACCTGTATTTTGTATAATTCCATTTCTAAATCCTGAGTTGCTGACTTCCAGAGGAACCCTTGCTTTCTACAGTACTTGGGTGTTGCGTTCTTTGTCTTCAGCCACATGCTTCTCCGCCCAGAGAGGGGAAGAGAAATGTGTTGTCCAGGATCAGTGCCCTTTGTAGATTTTGTACAAGAATTACCTAGCGGGGAGTCACCCTTCTTGGCTAGGGTGCAGGTGCATTTCTTCCATGTGCAACGTGGAATCCTGGGACAAGGGGCGTGGGACCTGCCACACCTCGTAGCAGCTCCGGCCAGCGCCAGCGTGGAAGGACCAGCCAGCAGCCCCAGCCGGCCCGTGCACTGCTCTTAGTCATTGAAGTCAGATTATTTTTATATTAATAACATTCTCTGACATTCCAGAGCCCTTTAGAATTTGACTTTTCTGGTTTTACTTATTTGACTAAAGGAGATGAGTGTAAATATAAAAAATGAAGGTGAAATAACCATTGGAAATTTATTTGGTTGCTTAATACTGTTCTACAACATCATGGGACATATGTTCTCAATTGGAAAGCAAGGCCCTATGACAATTCTTTTTTGATAAAGAAAACGTATTTTCTCTTCCCTGGGCTTGAATTATCTCTTTCCTAGCAACCCATTATCCCAGCTCGGTGCCTATCAAACGGAAAACGAGAGTCTGGGGTTTTGTTGTGATATGAATTTGTAAATTATTAATGCGAAAGAGGGAGCAGGAAGTTCACAGTCAAAATATATTTGCACAGAGTTCACTGTAAATATTGTGAGAATTGAATTCTGAAAAGGTCATATTTAACAAGCTATTTCAAAAGCACACATTTAAATACAGACTGGCTAAATAAAAGGTACCACACACTCCTTTGTTGGTTTCATTCCTCTGCATGTCATGTGGCTGTGTTCTTGTCACAGCTCCAGACAGGGACTGCCCTGGGCTGGAGGGGGCTAGAGCTGCACCGAGGCCCCAGCACTGCCCGTGAGCTCCACCGACCGGCCACCCTGTCCACATGTCACCATGCTGACTGCCACTGCCTGCTGGGCGCTTCGTCTACACATCCCATTAGTGGCCTCCCCCAAAATGGGAGTCATTCCCATTTTATAGTTGAGGACACTGAAGTTCTGAGCAGTTTAACAATCCCAGACCTAGCACGGATACCCTAGACACCAGTCCATGGTGGCCTGAGGCCAAATTCCTGTTCTCTTTCCCACCTTCAGCCTCAGGGCTGTGAGCTAGGGATGGTCCAGGGTGTCGGGACCACGTGGGACTCGCCCACTGCTGCTTGGGAAGGCCCAGTGCGAGGCCAGCCGGGACAGAGATCATAATGTTCTTGGCCGAGCTGCCGGCTGGAGCCAGGCGTCTGCTTGGCCAAGCGTTAGGATTACTCTTGGAGAAAGACTCTGGAGCACACACCCCTTGTAAATGTTCTGGACTCCCAGCCTCATGGGTTCCCATCCGTGGCTGGCTCTGGGACAGCAATCAGGATGCCCAGGGACAGGCTGCGAGCTTTCTACAGCCCCCATTGCTAGCCGCACTGGTTTGTCTGTCTGCATTTCCCCTGAGACGCAGCTGCTGCAAGCCATAGTGCATTCTGGAAATGACACAAGACCTGACAGTGATTGTAATAAAGTGAAGAGAAATAAAATTTTAAAATCCCTAGAATTGTTTTTAATGTGAAAAGATAGTTGTTTCAAAATAGATGTATAGATCTTCCTAGCCTATTATACGAGAGGAAATTAAGGTTTTTTTTACTTGTTTTACCATTTTATCCAAAGGAATATTGTTGCATATGGCATGCATGATCATTTTTTCATGGATTGTTCTTTCCAGAAGGTTTTGAGTATTCTATTGAGGGTGCACCCAGTGGGATAAGGTCCGAAACATACTATAAGGGTGACCGGAGTAGGTGGTGGCATGTTCAACCATGACAGGGAGCTTAGGACAAGGGGCAGAGGCACATGAGTGTCCAGTGCCTGGGGCATCACATGGACATGTCCAGGCAGCCACTGGACACATGAGTTTGGAGCTCAGGGAAGACGCGGAGCAGAGGCACCGATTTGGGGGCCACTGAGACTTAGAGAGCAGCTGAGGCTGAGTGAGGAGGAAGCAATCCCCTCCTCCCTGTGACTGGAGCCTCAGGACGGCCCACCCTTCCATCAGCTTGTGTTTTTGTTTTTTTTTCTCTCTCTCTCTTTTTTTTATTTTGGCATATTATGGGGGTACAGATTTTAAGGTTTCAATAAATGCCCTTTCCCCCCTCCCCCCCCAAGTCTGAGTCTCCAGCATGACCATCCCCCTCAGCTTGTGTTTGTATTGAACCTTATCTGTAACTACTTCCCACTTGAACACTTTTTGCTCACCTCTGAGTGGAGTGGGGGAAACTGCCCTGTTCTTCCCCGGCTCACACCTCCCTGGGGCTTGGCTGTCCTTCCTCCTTGACGGTGCTCGCTTTCTGTCTAGGTCTCCACCAGGCCTGGGTGCAGGCACATGGTCCCAAACCCTGTGTTTGATCCAGTTAGCTCTGTGGGCCAGAGCCAGTCATTCAGAAATGTGTAACCCTGTTATCCCAAAGACCAAGTGTTTTTAAAAAGTGCCATCAGGACAAAGTAATGGTTGACCTCTAGGCCGAGGCCTGGCTGTGTCACCCCAACCGGGAGGTCCTGGCCAGTACCCCGGCATCAGGGACAGATGATGCTTTTATAATCCCAGGACTCTCGGGGGAAAGCTGCGAGGCCCTAACTGCAGGCTTGCTCCTTCTGTGGGGAAAAAAGCCTCTGCCCTTTCTCCAGGCACTGAGCGTGACATTCACATGGCTGTGACCTGCCCTGCCTGCATGAATGAGACTCTGTGCTGCTGAGGGTGTGGGAGGAAGGAGGCAGGCGAGCCCACGGCTGCCCGGCGGCATCTGGCAGCACCAGGCGTGCCCTTCACCTTGACCAGGGACCGTTTCCAAGCAGAGTGGCTTTGTTCAGTTGTCTATTTGCTGAGCCCAGCTGAATCCAGGCACATGGCACGTGACCTGCAGCCAGGGAACAGGCACCTGGATGAGACCTCCGTGGTATGGAGGGCACGACATGTCCCCTCACACCTTCACAGTTAGGGGAGGCTAAGAAGCTTGCCGTGGCCTCCGGTCACACTGGGGCCAGGCTCTGTCCCTGCAGGCCCGACTCCTCCTCATCCTGGCTGCAGTCCCCTCCCTGGCACGGTCCTGGGACAGGAGCTCCTCTCTGGGGGTCCCCAGCAGCCCACGAACCTCACCCAGCCGGGTCCTGCCTCCTGAGCCTTCTAGAGTCCCCAGCACGCTCCCTGCACATCCCCGGCTCCTTGCGGGGCGTCCTGTCCGTGCCCCGTGGCGGGCGGGTGGCGCCACCTCCGCGGCTCCGGGCGGACCTCAGGTGTCCAGGCCCACTCGAGCCCTCGCCCGCTTGCCGCGTGCCTGGCGGGGGACGCTTGACTCCCTGGCCCTCGCGAACACCCGCTGCCCGCCCGGCGGCAAACCAGGAGGCGCGTGTGAGTCTTCTCTTTGCCTCCCGTCCTCGGCCGACCCGCGGGCACCTCTGCGACACGGCCACGTGCGATCGGCGTGCACTGCACCGCAGCCGTCTCCCCGCGAGTGCCGAGTGATCCCCTCACCGGCCAGACCCGGACACCGTTCTCCCCGCCCCAAACCCTCCAGCGGCTCCCTCGACACTCAGACCCAACCCACAGCCCGGACCACCCCCAAAGCCCGCAGCCTCTGGCACCGCCGTCCTGCACCACAGCGCCGGCGAGGCTGGCTGCTCCTCGGTCCCCACCGAAGGGCCCGGCCTCGCCTGGGAGTCTGCCCCGCGTCCTGCCTGTCGGCTAAGCCCCCTCCCAGGCTCCCCGACGCCCCCACCGTGCGAGGGTGCAGCGCGGCCTTCAGGAACAAATGCTCTGCTGGTATTAAGTGAACACGCGACTCATTCTTTAGGAATGACAATTTCTCTTGCATCTTTCTGTCGCATCTCCCAGCTCCCCCCTGTGGCCTCCCTCCTGGGTCCCCAGCGCCTTAAAATCCTCTATAGCTTCCCCATTTCTCCTCTGAAATGCTCCCAAGGCCCTTGGTGGTTTCACTCTCCCCTGCCAACCTCCCACTCCTTCTCCTTGGGGTCCATGCTACAACTGCCTGCTGTCCCCATGTGCCTGCTTTCCTTCTGTGCCCCCTCCACCCCACCCCATCCCCAATTTCAGATCCCCTCGAATCCAGGAACGCTCAAATTCTAATTTCAAAGTCGAAGCAGCATCTGCATCAATTTCTGGGCCATGCAGCCCTCTGGTGGCTAAAACAAATAACGTCTTTACTGTATTTTTCCTGCCTGGCCCTTTCAAATTCAACATCAGGGACTTGGATGGGCTGGAAGCACCACTGATCAAGTGACTGAGTGACATGAGTCTCACAGGGATGCTTGATCAGTGGATAGAACAGAACTAACAAGGAGCGGGGCAGGCTGCAGTGCTGGGCTACATCCAACCGGGGCTGGATTTAGCAAGGGCGTGTGTGAAGTCCTCTGCCCAAGTCTGAAAACAGAGCCCCGTGCCTGCAGGGAGAAGGGAGGATGCTCAGACCAGGATTTCTGGCACCCCCGCTGCCCTGTCGAGCTGCATCACCCCTTGCCTGGACTCGCAGTAGCTTCACGTCCCTGGCCACTCTGTCCCCCACACCAGTCCTTCCTTCACTCGATCATTCCCTGCAGAAAAGCAGCAGCACTGAGGGGACACAATGGTAATTGGGAAGAGACATGGGTTGGGGACAGTCATCGGCATCTTGTGGTGCTCGAGATCATGGGAGCGGATGGGGTCTGCAGAGAGAGGAAGGCAAAGCGGGAGGGCAGGGGAGAGGCCCTGGGAGGAGAGGAGAGAGGAGAAGCACGGAAACAGGCTGGGGTGAACGACAACCCTGAGAGGGTGATGTCATGAAAGCCAAAGGAGGGTCTCAGGGCAGACTGATCCAGCCACCGATGGCAGCAGGGACAGAAGCGTTGGCCACTAGGAGTGGAACACACTTTCCCCTGGCAGGGTGGGCGGCACGACAGTGGTGGGCAGCAAGGGTGGGCAGTTCCTGGAATAATCACAGATGAGCCTGTGCTCGTACAGGCTTCAGGTAGGGAAAAGAATCCAATGGTGAAGGGAAGTCTGTGTTTTTGGAAAGTTGGAGAAACACATTGTCGCTTAGCAACTGCTGCGTAACAAGTCCCCTAAAATGCAATAACTTAAATAAAGCCGATGGTTGTTCTCAGGAGTCTGCGGCTTGGCTTGGAGTCACCCGATCCAGGCAGGGCTGGCCGGGGTGGCTCTGCTCCCTGCGTCTGGTGATGGCAGAAGCACAAAAGAGCGAGTGGAAGCACACAAGCTTGTCGAGACCTAATGTCAGATCTGGCACAAGGACATTTCCAGCCAAAGTCAAGGGTGGGGGAATGCACTCCACCTGTTGCTGGGAGGAACTTGCAGAGCCATTTGGTAGAGGGTGAAAAATGGGCCGTTAGTGCCTTGAACCATGGGAGCCAAGCAGAGGTGCAGATGGAAAGAAGACGTCAGGGAGGCGGGACAAAACGTGGTGAATGCTGGGAAAGTGGCGAAGGGCATTTTGTGTGTTTGGAGCACGAGGAGCAGGCTCATGTGCTGGTGCTGCCGGTTCCCAGCAGCGCAGTCTTCGCTGCATCGTTTAACCTGAGACTCCGTCCCATTACCTGTAAAGTGGAAATGATAACCCTCCTTCATGGTGTGAGAATTAAACAAGGGAACGTAAAAAGCGCTTCACTGTGAAGTGCACATCTGTGTATGGCGACACAGGAAGTTTCCAGGAGAGGTGGGAGGCGTCATGGGACCAGGGAACACAATG